ATACATACATACATACATACATACATACATACATACATACATACATATTTAAGGGCTGCCGCCCCTGCCGCCGACCCCGATTCTCAGGTCCGGCTTTTCCTCCATTGGTTGGCAACACGTCACTAGCAACTCTGTAAAGATGGTCCCAAACTAAAAGTAACGCGGACTCAGTTCCCACTTGCGCCCGATTTCGCAGGAACAACTCACGCTCTACAAGGCTGCACTGCAGAACACGGTGCCATTGTGGATATTCCAGCTAACCCCGATCCAATTGCAGTCTACGTGGGACTGACACGTTGCCGTGCCCGGGAAAAGCTTATGATCTACCGTCCTTTTCCTTTGGCGCCTCTGCAGGCTGGTTTGCCATTGGGACGGCAGCTGCTGCTGGACGTCTGGAAACAACAACAAATTGACTGGGACTCCCTACGCAAAAAAATACCTCGATGAAAGGCTGTGTATGGAATGCAATGAAAGCAAACGGAAAGACGGCTTCACAAAGGGCCAGTGGCGCCGAGACATCTCTCGTGTTTGCAAGGAGTGCACATCGCAAAAGCGTGATGCAGGTACTCCGTACCGTTGCAGCCAATGTGGTGTCTGGCATGCCGCCACCCACTTCCTTTCGAAGCAGCTAAACCCACGGTGGAGCGCAGACCGCGTCTGTTTGTCCTGTGAAGTAAAGAAGCAGTGCTTCGTGTGCCAGAAAACTCTACCTAAAGAGTATTTCAGCGCTGCTGCCTGGCGACTAAGACACGGGCAGCGGCGAAAGTGCCTGACTTGCCAACGTAGAACCCGCGGCGTTTGGACTTGTGCACACTGTCGACAACGAAAACAACGAGACCAGTACACCAGCTTTCTCCGCCGACGCCCTTCCGGAAAAGACGGGAAACAAGTGTGCGATGCGTGTCACACGACACGCAGCCAGACCCTCCAACGCAAACGCGTCGCCGCCAAGAGCCACGCGCGTGTAGCGTCGCTGCGCCAACGAATCCACCGAAAGCACATCCTGCAAGAAATCAAAGACCTCATCGCCAGTCACGTCCACGAACGCAAACGTCTGGCTCCGACGGACTCCGGCACACAGGAAGCCAACGCCGCAAAGCGCCCCAAACAAAGCGCAAGTGTCGTGGCACCACACGCATCGTCCATCGAGCCACTGCCGAGCACAGTCCCGCACAGTCGTCGTCAAACAAAACGCCAAGCCACGACAGAGACTCGCCCCAAACCAGAATCCAAACAAGGCAAACAAACCACGTCAAGCGCGCAGCCACACGCGCCAACGCATGGCCACGCATTCAATCCGGAGGTGCCCGAGGCGAATCCAGGGAATCAGGTCAGAGTGGAGCCGACAAGGCTGTATGAATACGTCTGCCCACGCTGCAAAGGTCCATGCCGCAGTGGGGTCCAAACTGGCCGAGTCCACCATCGAGGAAAGTGCGGCCACAAATTTCGTGTCTTGGACGGTGCACTTGCTGGTCGCCAACACGAGCACAATTGTCCACGATGTGGTGTGCGCGTCTTGTCAGCCAAGCCCAATGGACGAATTCAAGTCCAACACCACACACCCAACGGCAAGGCTTGTTCTTGTCAGGCATGGAATGTTGCAGCATAAAAACATGGCGCGTTCTGTGCCGGAGGATCAGACAAAATTGTCATCCCCAATCGAGCCTTGCTTTGTACTCCTGGCGTTTATATGTCTCAATGCGCTCGTCGCCGCACGACTGCAAAGGCACACAACTAGGGGAGGGCCAAACCCCAGAAGCCCCATCGTTGTCGTGGAGGTTGTGGGAAGGGCCCCGAACAGCTTTTCCCAATCTAATTCTGGTCCAAAACGAGCCTCCCATGGTCGCACTTTGGATGCCTAACGCCGCCTCTGAATCCCTAGAAAAAAAGAAGTTTGTGTCCATTTGTCTCATTCATCTTGGCCCCGAACACCTGGTCCCGCCACAGCTTTTCCCAATCTAACTCTG